GAGGACCTGCGGGATCGTGAATCAAAAGAAATATAATGCTCACGCGAGCAAAACTGTTTCGATACGAGAACACGCGTGAACAAAACGACAAATTAACTAGTGTTCGCGAAAGACATTTTTTTATTTACGCGTGTTCCCGTAGCAAAACATATTTGCACGCGTGATCATCCGTAAATGTTTCACTGGAGAACACGCGTGAACAAAATCCAACAAATATCATTTGACTCAATTTTTGACTCTGATTCCGAATATGGTATTTTCACAGTGTGAAAGTTGAGTTCTGATTTAGAAAACTGCGACTTAGGGTGAGAATTTTGATTTTTTTCAGTAAAGTCGATTTTTCTTAGCGAGGAAAAGGAATTTTAAAAAAAACTCTCCATTACTTTATTGCCCGTTTCAAGACGGTTCTAATGGTATATGAATCAAGGGTATAGGTCTTGTCCCAAAAAACTTGATGTGCGCTCAAAATGAGTGACTGGTTCTCGGCCTCTGAAAGTCTGGACGTCGCTGTCGGACGAGCGTTTACTTTTGAGAAGTTCTCAGTAATTTGAGATTTTCTCGTCGAAGAAAAGGTTTTTGAAAGTTCCGAAGGTGTTTCTCGGAATTGGCTTGATGAGATGAATCAAAATGTGTAATCAAACATCAGAAAAAAATTCACTCGAATTTTAAATTAGCTGAACCTTATTATATCGTATAACTAATGCATTTGAAATTATATTATTTATCTGTTTGAGGTCTATAATGAATGTGACTCAATTAAACAGCAAAATCAGATGAAACTTTATTTTTTCCTAATTATTCTTCTTGGACTAGTTTTTCTATTGCTAAAAACATTGCAAGTAAGTTGCTTGCAAAGTTCGACGTTCTCAGTAAAAAAGTCCAAGTTTTTACCAAAGATTTATTTCGGATACAACACAATGTTTTTCACATTGAAAGCAAGGTTAAAAGCAATACGCTGTCTCATTTCTCACGTCTTTCTAAACAATTTCCGCAGTACAAAGGCAATGCCAATTCGAATAGTCCAATAGTTCGTTGGTACTCTCACAAGTTAGAAATCTATCATGTTATTGTTGAATCTCGTCTTCCTCCGGAGAGGGTGGCTCGGATGTTGTCTATCATTAGCAGATATGTTAATATAATCAAAATCACCAAAAAGGGAATTACTTGTGTAATGGTCATTTAAATTCATACTTATTATATTAGTCACTTACTTTACTGGGAAAAACGTGAATTCGGCTTGTAATTCTCAATTTACTCTATCAGAAGTCACATTTTACGCAATCAAAATATCATATTCGGCTTCAGCGTCAAAAACCGCGTGATGATACATATTTCAAAATTGTTTGGTTGATTTTCATTATTAGATGATAATCTCAGTAATTTTTCGACGTTACAATTCAAAAAACATGAAAGTGATCGAACAGGATAAAAAAAGTACATTATTCAACTCGATTTTTGACGTTGATTTGGAATAAAACATTTTCAACAACCTAGAGTAAACGTAAACTGAATTTTTCTCGAAACTCGTCAAATTTTGGTTTTTTAGGCAGTAACTTGTATTTTCAAGATTTTTCACACAAAACTTGGTCTAAAAAAATTGAAAATGACATATTCGGAATCTACTCCATGAGCTCTATCCAACCAAATGTAAGTCAAACAAAAACAACTTCTGCTCCACTTTTGCGTTTGGAGCTAGAACTATTATCTATAGAATAAGGTACCAAGTCCTATGTAGCAGCTACAGGCGGATATATCATTGGATATAGTATGATTTTAGCAGCTAAATAAGTATTTTTATCTTCGGACGACAATGTTTGCATGATTGTTCTCTCAATAAAAGAAAATGACAAACGCCATGAGTCATGTTTAACAGCCACATATAAATTGTCCGTAAAAGAAATTTTTTTTCAAACAAGGTAAGGTCCCGAAGTGTCCAATCGCTTTCCGAACGAAAACTAGCGGACACTGCATTATCGAGCATGCTGATTTCGAATATGCTCATTAAAGTTGCCCTTAGGTCTTCCAAGACCCGCTTTCTGAAAAACCAGTATTTCAGCTAAAAATCTTTTTCACCAAAAAGCTTTTCTAATCTGTCCTGATTGTAGAGCGTGTCGAGTTGTCTATAAAACACTAATGTTTGACTTAAAACGCATATTGATAAAGATCTACGTTGAAATATACATGCACATAAGACGATATTAATAACGTAAAATTTCAATATCTCAGCAACGGTACAACTTTTTGATTTGCGCCTTTCACCAAAATTCATTAAAATGTTTGGTCTAATGAAGCTCCATAGTTTAAAAAAGTTTTGAGAACATCGACTGAAGAACGTCGATCGTGGCTTACGTGCAATGTCTTCTAAGGAAATTTCAATTAAATCAATCAATTTATATTTATATTTTTGCATGATCATTGATATTTATTATTCAAAAATACTTCATGTATCGACCGCTCAGCATACGAAGGAACTAAATTGGCATTGACTGTTATTGGACGCTCTGTTATACAAGCAAGTTTTCCTGTTGAAAATATTCTAGATCAATCATAAAATCATATTGAGCTGGATCACCAATTTTTGTCTGTTCATGAAAGTTGCCAGATTTAATTAGTTTTCCTTTAAATCTGTCATCTATATCACCAATAATTGTATTTTGTGATAGATACGAGCAAATATCGCGACATCTAGAGCACCACGACAATCTAGAAATGATTGTAAAAAATCGTCAGAAAGAGAGTAATGAGTCGATTTAACAATATCATATATTTCATTAGCTGGTACACTAATAAAATATAAATTATCAGCTATGAATCTAGATTAATTGTTGGAAAATTGTGCAGTATAAAAATAATTTCTAAATATTTCACATTCAACTGGTTTCATTCCATTCAAATCTTTTTTAAAAGAATCTGAACAGGCTTGAAGTAAAGTATTAACAATATCAGGTGTTGCACGATGACAGGCATAGTGTAAAGGAGTTGAATTATAATTATCAACTACGTTTACATTCGCATCATAGTCAATAAGAATTTTAGTAATTGGCCTTTAGAGCTTTGAAAGGGCCAGTTACATGCAATGGTGATACATCATTTTTATCTGAACGATTTATTTCAACAGAAATATTATTCCTTCGTTTGCATAAGTAGAGCAAAGATTTTTCATCTAAGTAATGAACCAGATGAAATAATTAATATTGTTCATCCCATATTGTAGGTAATATGGATACTTGCAATATAATTTTCTATCAATACTTTCAATATACTAAATGAACTAACGCAAGCGTAAACTAATGCAATTAAACCATCGATATCACAAGAATTTAGTAGAGAAGAATTCATTTTTAATAACAAATTTATGACAATCCAACAACGTTTACCTTCACATACACCATAATGTAAGGCTGTTTTACCAAGATAATCTTTGCATTGAACATCTATGAGATGTGCTAATTGCAAAATAGTCGAAAAAAATTTATTAGTTCCTTTATGTCCTGAATTTTCTTCATAAATACCCTAGAACGTACTTGATGCAAGTACTTGATTACTTGCTAAGTATTTGTGAATGATCGAAAGACTTGCCGTATTGCTAAGAAGTACTTGGCAATAAGGACAAGTACTTACAAGTAAATTTACTTCTGGAAAAAAGTCAAGTACCGGCTTGAATACGTAGACGACGTACTTGGTCCCAAGTACGTCCTCTCGGGTAAAAAGACTGTGACAGTTTTGAACTAAATCAGTGATAAATATTTTTCGTTTATCTACTACTCGTTCGATACTGCGATTATAACGAAAACATTCGGCGTGATAATGGCAAACACAAAAATAATCGTCGTAGAAACATTGATGCATGTCAAACAGCCGACAGAGCTGATGATATTTAAACACCGAAGTGACCGAATCATACCCCTGACCAACTAAGAAAAAAACAAGAAAATTTGATGCCTTTCAGCAGTTAGAGTGTTCAGCTTAAAGTACGACTATAGAGACGATAAGACATTATTGCAGAAATTTGATTAGAATTCCTGAATATGGCTTTTAAATTTTAAATATCGCACAATAATTAGTGGTTTAAGGGAACCCTTTTTATCTTGTTTGTCCGATCTACTCTCTAAACAAGGGTCAGAATGGAACCTCCCTTTGTTTCGGACCCCATTCTAGAACTCTTTTCTTTTTAGTTTAAGATTAAGAATTGGGTTCAGTTTCCATCTATCGCTTTTTTACTAGAGAGTAGGCCCACTAATATACGCGTTTAAAACGCAGAATACTAATCATCAATTATAGTTTACAGCAAGGTTGTTTTTGCTAGTTCCACGGAAGCTCGTTCAGGTTTCAAAATAGAATTTGATGGAAAATGTTAGAAGAAACTATTTACTAGTGTCCTCAATATCAACATTTCTAACATAAACCACGGGTTTTCTTAGAAGAAGTACCTGTCATTGATTTGAGTGGATGTTCAAATTGGAACAGAGTCTTAACATGTTGACACTGATTTACCGTCGCCACTTCGGTTTAGATCAATACAAGGACGATTTATTGTAAAATTAAGTGGATCCTTTGAATGATCAACCATACATGGAAATTCAGTGCTAATATTACAAATTGTTGAAAATGGTTGATCTTTATACATTTCAAAACATTTTTGCTTCATATGTATGAGATTTAAACCAGGTTCAACGTTATGTCCATCAAATTTGGCAATACCAATCAGTTTTTCTTCATCCGGTGCGTCACTGCAGTCCTATTAACCTCTGATAACAGTAGCTCAGATCCACGTACTAAGATTTAAAATCTACTTACCATCACAAACCCAGTCTGTTGGAATGCATTGGCTTGACAAACACCGCTACTGATTTTTTGGACACAACCAGTCATCACAGAACATTGAAGATTCATCGGTTCCCGACTTTGTATCAAATAATGAGTTGCAATAATCCTGAAACGGAATTTTCCTTTCTACTGTTTCACTTATATTATTATACATTGGAAGCATGTTCGCCATTGATGAACGAGAAATATATTCATGATGAATCTAACAGCCTTCATCGCTGCGTTTTACACATTTAGTATCTCTTAGTGCAGATGTTGCATATTCACCTTGACGATTTGTGCAATGAGCATCAGAGTCACCGACAGCAGCGGCATTTTGTTTTTGTTATAATGTTTGAGTAACGAGACGCCTAGAGATCTAGAATATCACAGATTAAAGAGAAAAGTGTGCTAAAGGTTCTGAGATGTTCCTACAGTCTACACATTCTTTCATTCAGAAACTATGAGGAAAGTACAAACACCTACTTTCCAAAACTTAACTGTTGTAGGTGTTTGTATTTTTCTCATAGTTTCTGAATGGAAGAATGTGTAGGCTGTAGGAACATCTCAGAACCTTTAGCACACTTTTCTCTTTAATCTGTGATATTCTAGATCTCTAGGCGTCTCGTTACTCAAACATTATAACAAAAACAAAATGCAAAAAAATCTTTACGGAATTTCACTCCGGTAGCAGAGATGGCTGGCCAGAGCGTCTTCCCCTGTTAGAGTGGACAATGATGCGAACATTTAATTAAAATGTTGAAACGACCGTGTTATGCTGGAAGTAATAATAATTATTGGATTATAAGGTTCAATATCTCGATTATCGTTTTCTATCACAATGGGTTTTCTTACTCTATCGCAAAAATTGGAGTATCTATACTGAAAAATAGGTCTGCTGGAACTACCAGATGTCATTTTTAATAACTTGGAAGAATGTTTAGGCTGAGAATGACTTAAGCTAATAAAACTGAAGCATTTCCATAAAATCATCTATAAAAAAGCTCTATCATTTCTTTGTAAATATATACAACCGATGTATAACTCATCCCATAACACTCGTTCTAATAATCACAATAAATTCAAGTTAATTTACGGAAGAAGTAAAAACTCAACTTTGTCCTTTTTTTCATCTTTATCGTCAATGTGGAATAACTCTCCGAGTAAATTACGTCAAATACATAAACTAACGTCTTTTACACAAGAATTATCGAAGTTCTTAGAATTAACACCAAAAGTAAGAGTAACGACAGGAATGAATAGAATTGCTGACATTAGAAAATTCATAAAATACTGAGTATTATCTGTTGAACATTGTTCATTACTCAACAATGAAGAATTATGGATTTTTCTGGGAAACCATGTGAAAACCCAGCGTCGATCCAAAATTTTTCTAACCTTCAAACGAGATAACTGCGTTCAGCAGAAGCATTTGCTCTTAATAATTATACTGAAAAGATTTATTCATTTTCGTCGCACATACATACAAAGTAAGAAAAAGAGAGAAAAGTCACGTAAGTATGTTTCAGAACCTGCTCTTTCTAACAGAAAAAAGAGCAAGTGTGTACGATTCTGAACTGAGACATGAAGCAAGCAGAAAACGGAAAAAGCCCTCAGAAGCACATCAGCCACGATGTTCATGCGCCCACTTGAGATCTAATCAACTACGTTCTATTCTTTTGACTTGGAGCACTTACAAAGGCGTTCCTCTCACTTAACAACGCGTTTTTAGTCAATAAAACGCGTTCTTGGCCAAACTTTTTATAAACTGTTTTCATGGGTGGGAATAACCACTTACTAACCGCCTTCCGTATTATCTCTGTGATGTTGACCAGAAAATTAGGGCAAAAGTTGTACGAAACAAATAATTCATTCCAAGACCCTCAAAAAACACTTAGACTTACCTGTCACTGTTCGAGCTGTTCAAGTAACAAGGTATGGAGTTCGTTTTCATTCAGCGACTTTCCAAAAGCTGAATATATCGGCTAGGTTTGTATTCGCTTATGCCGTCACTGTTCATGTACTCTTACTGTTCTTCATTCCTTCCATTACACTTGCACCCTTTTTTCAAGCATTCAAACGCGTTTCACAAAATTTCCCGAAAAAACCAAAAACGAATGTTGATTGATGTATCTTTCTGTCATATTGTGTACCATGTAGCGATGGGTCGAAAGAGTTCAGAAAAGAAAGGAAGAAAATGAAATTCTCTGACGACTGTAACGAAAGAAGTACGTAATTTTCATTCGTTTTTCATACGAAATTACGGAACAACGAACATTCCATTTCAGTCATGAACAAAAGAAAAGCAAATCGATGAACAAAAGTTAGGTAACTTTTTCCTTTTGTTGCGTTTCGTAGTATTTCGGCCCATTACTAGCACTATGTGAGATCATCTATTTTTATCGTACAGCGTTGTTGGTTATTTCCGTTGTGCGTATTTTCATAATTTAAAATAAAACTCCTGCTTCCTCATCATATTTTGTCTCAAAATTTTGAAAACTGTTAACGAGTGTAACTTTCTTATCATCTTGCCTCACGATCTTCAAGATGTACTTTCATTTGTTTAAGATAGTATTGTGCTTTTCTTTAGTACTGCGACTATAATGCGCATGAACAGAACAAGCATATCAGTTATCTACAACGTGCCGAAGCGTTTAATAATAGAACGCTTTCAAACGCAGTTGTAACCTGTTTCAAAAGAGCGTTCAGACGCCTGTTCAAATCAAAACGCGTTTAACAATTCGAACACGTTCAGAGTATTAAACATCTTCGGCGTTTAAACGCAGTAATAGTCAAACGCTTAACAAAAACTCTTGAAAAAAACGTTCGAACGCTCCTTACACATAAAAGCGTTTAAACGCGTTCGACTCAAACGCAGGTTTCTACGAAACGCGTTTAAATCTATTCTCCAACCTTTTCAAAATTACTGAAAACTTCACCCAATTAGAACGGTTATCTTTTTGTTTGTTTTATTCCGAGTTTTGTCATGTAATGATACGGCACTATTGCTTCACGGTCCTGAAAGGGTGAAGCGAATTTTTAACTCAGAAAAAGAAAAGCAAAAAATGCTTAAATGCGGACAAATTGTTAAATTTCTCCGTAAAATGTGCATCATGTGGCAACTCTGGACACGGGATCAAAAATAGGCAAATTACTTCTATAAAGTATATCAGTTAATTCTCATATTTGATGTTGAAAGGATTGATTTGTTTAATACGATGCGCGAAAAAATTTGAAAACTATTCTGCCACTCAAAAGGTCGAAAAAAATGAAAGTGCTCGGAGAGGAAAGAAATATACATCATTCGACTCAGTTTTAGCCGCTGACTCCGAATATGCTATTTTTGTTGAAAAAAACGTTTGCAATTTGTCTGCATTTAAGCATTTTCTGCTTTTCTTTTTCGGAGTTAAAAATTCGTTTAACGCTTTCAGGACGGTGGTACATCCTTGTGTGAAAATCCCGACTGACGAAAACTGAGCAAAGTTTTTGTCAGAATGCAGAGAAAAAGCGAAAACGCATTTTCTTTGTTTAACGTCATCCATTTTCACGCGCAAAGAGTCAAAAAATTGTTTTCTCTAGTACCTTTTGGTTTTACTCAATGAAACACAAGAGAACGATAAACAGAAATGTAAATCTCGATTTTAATTTGACACGTTTTTTGTCTTTATTTTTTTTATTAGAATGAATAAGTTAAAGCGGTTCTGGCGTTGATAAGAAATAATTATAAATTTCAGTGCATGATAACGCTGGGTTTAACCCTTTCAGGACGGTGGTACATCCTTGTATCACTTATTTCCCGATGTCAATAATTTTTGACAGAAAGGAGATAGAGACCTGCGCTTTTCACCATTGTGTAGCCAAGACCTTAAGGCATGCTTTTGTAAGGAAAAGCTTATTTCAAAATTTCCTGTAAGCCTTAAAAGGTACCATATATTGTTGATCAAGCCGAAAAAGTGATCCAGGAGAACACTAAGGGTTTGAGGGTTTTTCAGAGGTTTTCTGGAAAGACTGAAACGAATGCCCAGCTGGAATTCACCATTCTCGTCTTTGATTATGATTTATGAGCTGTTCTGTGCGTTTTCTGAAAATTTCCTCGATTCAGCGGAAAAAACGATTTTTCATAAAAATGCCTCTGGCGAAGTTATGAAAGGGTTAGCGCAGGTCTCTATCTCCTTCCTGTCAAAAATTATTGACATCGGGAAATAGGTGGTACATCCTTGTACCAGCAGGTGGTACAAGGATGTCAACAATATATGGTACTTTTTAAGGCTTACAGGAAATTTTGAAATAAGCTTTTCCTTACAAAAGCATGCCTTAAGGTCTTGGCTACACAATGGTGAAAAGCGCAGGTCTCTATCTCCTTTCTGTCAAAAATTATTGACATCGGGAAATAAGTGATACAAGGATGTACCACCGTCCTGAAAGGGTTAAACCCAGCGTTATCATGCACTGAAATTTATAATTATTTCTTATCAACGCCAGAACCGCTTTAACTTATTCATTCTAATAAAAAAAAATAAAGACAAAAAACGTGTCAAAATAAAATCGAGATTTACATTTCTGTTTATCGTTCTCTTGTGTTTCATTGAGTAAAACCAAAAGGTACTAGAGAAAACAATTTTCTGACTTTTTGCGCGTGAAAACGGATGACGTTAGACAATGAAAATGCGTTTTCGCTTTTTCTCTGCATTCTGACAAAAACTTTGCTCAATTTTCGTCACTTGGGACTTTTTATTCCGCATTTCTGACCTGAGCATCTGGCAACTCTTAGGCTTAGTTTTGGCAATTTTTGGACAAAATAATGCGTTCGGACACATTTCTGATATAAAATTCAGATTTAATGCATTGGAAGGCTTCGGACACTATTTTGGACCTGCGATTCAGCTTCGATTTTTGCCTTTCTAACGAATTCACATGTATTAGCGACGCGAAATTGTCGTCTTTGCTACTTTCGTTTTCCTTTTCTACACGTCTGTCCGTCTCTATCGTGTCTGTTCAAAAAATTGTATATAAGGCACACTCATTTTCAATACTAGTCACCAGTTCAAGAGCATTTGCTGATGAATATAATTCGAAACGCGTTTTCGATTTATTATTAATTGTCAAACACCCTCATATTATTATTTCGGTCAAACACCAATCACAGTGCTCCAATAAATCGAACGACTTTTCCATGGACGAACAACGAAAGAGCGATGAACGTCCGGTGTTTGTGACGCATCAGTTTTTTGTTGCACAGCAGCAGCAGTCACCGGCAAAAGATCAGCAAGATGGACCACCAGAGTCGCAAGAACGAACACCATCTCAAATGAACCAATCTACATCAACATCAGATTTGGAAATCACAGCGGTAGTAAATGCATCTCTAAATCCAGCAGACATTCCTGAACGCACGAGCTCTCCTTCAGTTACGCAACCAGCAACACAGACCTTTGGCATAATGGCATCATATCCACTATTTACTCACGCAACAGTGCCAGAAGTTACTTCACCACCAAGCAGTCGACAGTCGCAATACAAGCAGCAAGGGTCTCGCCGACTAGCAGTCTTACGTCGAATCCGGCAGACAACTGGAAGCTTAGAAGAAATTCCAACATTTTCTGCCGCCAAACCTCGTACAGGCACATCACATCCGGCCTCGCCACCACCATCTCACCCGCACTTCGCACCGATAGTTGCATCATCACCAATGGTATCAAAACTATTAGTTCCAGTAATGCCAAGAGTCGTTACAAGTAAATCACCATCACGCTTTACCACTCAATCCACAATCACACTGGCCTCCGCAACGGTTCTCCCGCCACGCACAACTAGCAATGCCTCACCAGCAGTATCAACCAGTATCGCCCCTTTAGTACCACAGCCACTGGTACCGGTACAACGGCAGCAATCGCAGGCAACCATGGAACAAGTCCATAAGCCACCAGTGTGGATAATGCCAGGAAAAAGCTGGAAATCATCGTCGTCAAGTGAGTATCATTCTGCACGTAAGAACATGGCACCTTTTGTTTCAGTTGAACAAACCTCGGGAATGTATAACGGCAAAAAACAACGGTTTCAAAATGGCACCACATCAAATTTCAACTTATACACAAACATTACCAGCTACATTCCCCCACCACCACCCACTATCCCGCCATGTCAACCCAAAATCAATGCATTACGGCCAACTGCAGGTACCACTCATGCAACTGGACTTAAAAGCGCGTCGAACGCAGCAACGAGCTCAGCAACAAATTGGGTACACAGATACAAATAATAGATTCAACCTCTTTTTAGATAGGCAGCATGAACCTTATTATGCAACACCACTAACAGCAGATGCCGAGCAACAGAATTATATGGCTCTCCTACCACCACCACGATATACGACCGGAACCGCAAAATCAAAAAAACCATACGCACAACTAAAGAATGCACAACAACAAGCAGCTCCACCACCGATTGATTTAGTTGACGAATCGCGGCCACAAGGTTATCGAGCACAGCGATACCAACAACGAGATACGGCAACAGCAATGACAAATAAACCAAACCACGTCATTTTATCAGATTCAACAATGTCCCGTTTCCGGCTGTCTCAATTTAACAACAACACAGTCAACGTCCGCATAAAATCTAACTCCGGCTTTGGAATACGCAATTATATTAACCAAATCACTAGTGGTCAACTCCGATACCTCCTAGCCCAAGCTGCAAAAATATTCCAGCCAAATCTGTTTCGACTCCATATGTAAATCGCTTTCTAACGATACAAGATTCTCATTAGCGTTATCGTTGTATGAAGCAAATTCGTCGCTTGTGAAATTTCTCATTCATTGTAGAGTTTTTTGAGTTACGTACAAGAATGAATTCTTGAAATTTCTTATTTCTTTCTGTAAGTAATTTGAATAGTTGTATGTGTGTGTATGTATACACTTTTATACCATATTTATGGTATTATGTTCTCATAGGTTTAGTGTGGAGGCTGATTAATAAACTATAGGAATAATTTCGAGGGCGGGTGAAAATTCAGCTGGAGGAAAGTTCAGCACGGGAAAGACCTGCACGCAGCGTAAGTATTGATATGTCACAGTTTGGGAACCAAAATACGTAATTTCAATTCTTGCAAAATGACAAAAGCAACAAGATGAAGTTTCATGTGTATTGTGTAATGAGATTTATTTACACAAAAATCAAAAACATTAAAAATTTTTTTCAGTCGTTGTTATTCTTTACAGTACATAAACAGTGATACTATTTGATTTTTTTCTTTTCTGTTAATAATTTTTCTTCAGAAGAAGAACCAACTTAATAGGAAGAACGTAAATAATGGTGACTGAATATATTTTGTTTCACAAGTAGAAGCATAAACGTGACATATTGTAGGTAAAAACAACTTAAAGCGACGGCGTAAAGTTTTCGAAATTAAGGTAAATTTTAATCTACAAGAATAACAGTAAAAGCTATTGTGTTCGGAATTCGTCAGAGATGAAGTTTTGTCTCTGAGAAATCTTTTCAATAAAGAAAGTCTCTTGTCTTTTCTGTACTCAGCAATTTTACATGAAACACTAAAAAAGAGTTCAAGAAGTAAGGTGCACGTAAGGCGAACGAGTAGTGCAATTTATTTTTGACTTTTTTATACATATTCTGATTCGTCAGAAGGTGATGATCACAAATAGCAAAAACTTTTGCGATCTGACTTGATCTTTACATAGAAAATCGCAAAATACTGCGGAGGTTCCAAAAACCCCAAAAAATCCTGCGTCAAAAAAACACCTTGTATTCGAATTCCAAGATATTTTGAAAAATTTTGGAGGTGATATTCGGAATCAGCATGAAAAACCACATCTAGTCAATTTGATCTGGAATTTTTACACTTTCACCTGATTGAACAGGAGGGCTCAAAACCTCCAAAGGTCAAAATTCGCCCTACGTGATGGAAAAACCTATCTAGTCCTAGAGGTTAAGGGTTAGTCCCATGAATTATACTTCATTTGATAGGCCAGGCACTACGCTTCAAAATAATGAGGAGCTTTTCGAAAAACTTTTTCCTTGCTGAGATATTGCATTTTTGTAAAGACCATGCCCGAACGCAAGAAACCCAATTTTACGATTTTTGAGTTTTAAGTTAAAAATTTGTTATTTACACCTCATATAGCTAAAATTTCATTGCGAGTCCGATAGAATACCTCACGAGATGTCTACAACGCTGAGAAAACAGAGTTTGAAGCGCTGAACGTTTAGTTTTCAATAAAAATGTTTCGACTCTGCCCTCTGATTAACATCAAAAAAGGTAAGTTTTTTGTTACTGAAAGTCCCAAAATTCAGAAGTTTGTTTCCCACCACGCTGCTCATTAACAAAGTCTTTAAAATCGCCAGAGACAAAGATCTCGCTCCACCCGTGGGTGGCTTGACTACAGAATCCTCCAGTCTTTTGTAAGAAACTACCGCATTTAGCCCAAGTCATTCCTAAATGCCTTAGAGTTGTACACATCAACACACTGAGATACTTTGTCGGACACGTTGTCTTGCAAAACTCTGTTAATTAGAGAATATGCTGTTTAAATGTATTTATGAGACATTCAGCAATTTCAGCAACGCCGAAGATGTTTAATACTCTGAACGTGTTCGAATTGTTAAACGCGTTTTGATTTGAACAGGCGTCTGAACGCTCTTTTGAAACAGGTTACAACTGCGTTTGAAAGCGTTCTATTATTAAACGCTTCGGCACGTTGTAGATAACTGATATGCTTGTTCTGTTCATGCGCATTATAGTCGCAGTACTAAAGAAAAGCACAATACTATCTTAAACAAATGAAAGTACATCTTGAAGATCGTGAGGCAAGATGATCACATCAACACACTGAGATACTTTGTCGGACACGTTGTCTTGCAAAACTCTGTTAATTAGAGAATATGCTGTTTAAATGTATTTATGAGCTATTCAGCAATTTTCATTCACCGAAAAAATCAGCAACATGAGTTAAAAACTCAACAGATCTAAAATTGAATCGCTCTTTCTCTTCCGCGGTATAATCGTCGGTGTCCATTTGTTCATCTTCTGACGATACATCGCTACTACTTTCATCATCTACTTGATCAACAGCTAAACGTTTGTCTAGAATTTCCTGAAGATGTGGATTCTGTTTGCTTCTTTTTGGCATAATTGTATCGGACAAAGAAAAAAGCTAATAAACTAAATCTAGAAAACAAAAGAGGCTTATGAGTCGTTTGGCGTTGGTATCGAGCCCCATAATTGAGCTATTACCCCCCTGAGCTATTATGACCTGGCAAGAGATAGTACTCAAGAGAACTCGAGGTTTTCAAAAGTAGTTTGTCATAGAGAATTTGTTAAGAATTGGGTGTAAGAGTCACGAAAGTTGCTGTAGTCGCCCAAGATTATCGTTATAAGTAATAGTAAAAAATTCTTATCGAAGTGGGAAACACTTATCAGACGAAATGGCCCCGTAGTGTGTGGCCTCTGACTACTTCATATGCTTAGCTTCGTAGAGAACTCTTGCTGCGACTAACTGCTGTGACTGATTTTTCCATCGCTGCTAGCTAGTCTCTTCATACATCTATTGAAAAGGTTATGTATCAGTTCCTTTCGTTATATTCGTTGCTAAGCGTTGAACTCCTTCGTACAAAAGAATATACTTTTTTGGTGGTTTTCATTACTTACCCAGATTGTGTCAGAAAAAAGATGTCGCTGGACATTGTCATACACTCAATGCCTATCTGCCACTCAAGTCTTCAGTAACAAAAAACTTACCTTTTTTGATGTTAATCAGAGGGCAGAGTCGAAACATTTTTATTGAAAACTAAACGTTCAGCGCTTCAAACTCTGTTTTCTCAGCGTTGTAGACATCTCGTGAGGTATTCTATCGGACTCGCAATGAAATTTTAGCTATATGAGGTGTAAATAACAAATTTTTAACTTAAAACTCAAAAATCGTAAAATTGGGTTTCTTGCGTTCGGGCATGGTCTTTACAAAAATGCAATATCTCAGCAAGGAAAAAGTTTTTCGAAAAGCTCCTCATTATTTTGAAGCGTAGTGCCTGGCCTATCAAATGAAAACATGGTGACGTAAGTTCCCGTGAATTTCGGAGTGCTTTTTGTGACTGTGACGAAAATTGACACTTTGATGACGAAAATACCTTGGTTTTTAACGGTTCCTGCTTGACTTGCATTACACGTAAATTCTGCTATAAATACAGAATAGAATCAATTGCTGTGCGATTATTATGTGATCGGGCTAAAAAGACACTGCAGTACTTCCCTAGCAAGTACTGACCGAGTAAATAGTGACGTATTTATACGTTTTCGGAGTGCTTTTTGTAGCTGTGACGAAAATTCACCTCTACATAAATTGTAACTTACAGTGAACAAAGATTTATTGTTCAAAACTTATGAACTTACTCTCTAACCACCTGCTAAAGAAGTACTGCATTTAACGTTCTTTCAATGTGACCAAAGTTCACCACTACTGTGACGAAAATTTGCTTCATGCATCGAAATTTTTGGTGTGTGTGACGAAAATTCACACTTTGGTGACGACAGTTCCCGAGAAGTACCTCCACCCAAGGAACTTTCGTCATGTATGACCAAAGTACGTTCGTCATAATGACGAAAGTGTGGTGTGACGAAATTGCCATAATCCGCTAATTCGACATGCTCCACGATTAGAATCTCTGATTTTAAGAGAGCTTTTCACAGGCCGGATCCATAACAGAAATACGTAGCAGCCCAAATGAAAATGAGATTCGAGACCAGCACCAAAAAGTACGTGTTATCAAGTAGGTTTTAAGGTAAAAGTGACTGATCATTTTGAGATCTTCTGTGGTTCGTGAAAATCAATTCAAACTAGTTCAAAATGTCAAGATTTGATCTACAGTATATGACATTTAACGCCGCAGGTACTTAATAAATATTTTTCCAGTTTCGAACAGGAGATAGCAGTTTTAAAAAATTTCTGATTTATGTTCATTGGTTGAGTGCTGTCATAATACGGATACAGTCTGTGTTCGACTAAAATCCCAATTGTTGGGATTCTAGGATGTTGATATTTTGAAGTAGTTTGCAGATAGATCTTCACCAAATTTAATTGTCATCGAAAATAGAGAGTGCTAAGGATGTATGAATACGATGATTATACTAAAGCGCACAAAATTCCTTTTTGAATAAATACAGATGTGCAGGAATATATTTGCATTTGCACTTTATGGACTATGGCCTCCGTTACCACAGATCTCCTGGAAAACCTTCTTAGAGAATCGTACTTCCTATAAAAAAAACAGCTCATAGTTTCCTCCTCCGCATGGAGAAAATCACAGCTGGCTACTGCTCTTCTATCAAGACCAGCTTGCGACTAGTGAACTGTATTACTTTCTTCTATGGGCAATAACAGTAAAACTGCCGCTCTACAGTGATCAGAATTTAATCAGCTGACATCCTATTTAACCATTCTCCAGGTACATATCACAATGGTGCGGAACTAGAGCAATACCATACGAATATTGTCAAAAGCACTGCTCAACATCTCATTTGGAATTTCATCAAGTAAGTTGAACAAAACCACACGATGTATATTGTTTATCTCTCACTGTTTTCAAATTAAACTACCCTACTACTAGAGAAAACACGCCAAGGAAAAACTATATATAACGTACAGATGATGAATGACAATTCGAACGACGGTACACCCTGGCCCAAACCACAGATGCCAGCAGACGCATACCAACAGCCCTATAATCAACAACAGATGCCACCAAACCCGTATCAACAGAAGTTCGTGAGCGACGATACACCCTGCGCCAAAGAAGAGAAGCCACCAAACATGTACCAACACGAATTCGCGAGCGACGATAGGCCTCGGTTCAAACGTGGGACACCACCAAACATGTACCAACACGAGTTGGTGAGCGACGATACACCCTGCGCCAAAGAAGAGAAGCCACCAAACATATACCAACACGAGTTCGCGAGCGACGATAGGCCTCGGTTCAAACGTGAGACACCACCAGACATGTACCAACACGAGTTGGTGAGCGACGATACACCCTGCGCCAAAGAAGAGAAGCCACCAAACAAACTACTAGAATTACGTTTGAAGACATCAGCTGTACTTAAAACTGTACCAGATAAGGATACACATGTTACATCGGAAGAAGAAGCTTATTATGAAGAATGCAAACAATATTATCGTGTTACCCGAATGCCACTAGTTTCCATTTCTGATGGAATTTTGAGCAATAATCTTCAACTAACATCAGCAGCATTAAAGTTTGCGATCGATGAAGATTATAATGAGTTTAACATACAAGAATTTTTGAATAAAGTTTGCAATATATTAAATATCAATATAAGTGATATCGATATTAGAAAAATTCAGGAAGGTTGTATTGTATTGGAACTGGAATTTTGGAAAAATATTGGTGCTGCAATTAAAAGAATTAAAATCCAAGCTCTATACCATTCACTTACGGACAAATTGCTAGAAGAAATGGGTAAACTGAAAGTTTTTTTTATGTTTATGGGTGATATTGTATCATTCGCAAACACACAAAGATTTCGTAAGCAAATTAAATTACATCTTCAATGGAATCGTATATATGGTATAGGTCATACATATTGGAACGGTGCTCTTCAGGATGGGCAAGATCGTGGTCCTCATCCATATTATTGTCCTGCTGGATGGAAAAGATATGCTTTGCATGTTAGTGAAAACTATGATGAAAAATTTAAAGGATGGTGTTTTTGCTATCATGGTACAAAATTTGCATATGGCTTATCTATTCTATTAAGCGGATTAAAACCAGCAACAGCTACAGCACATGGCCAAGGAATATATGCTAGTCTATCAATTGTCTATGTATGTCATCCACGATATTCTGAAGTTAAAAAAATTGAATCATCCGAACAAAATAACTTCTTTAGACGTGGTAAATACGTACAATTTGTATTACAATGTAGAGTACATCCATCAAATATAAAAAGAATAAGACAGGAAACATTGGGTGCTGGTAACACCATTATTGATCCCAATGTAAAAAATAATATTATCGAATGGGTTGTTGATACAAAAGGCAAAGATATAGCAGATTTTAATGATCCAGATGCTACTATTGTTTGTACAGGTTTGATGTTACGAGTAACTGATAATCATCCTGGTTTATTACCGGACTCGCAATGGTGGCATACATCACATTTATGTAATAATAAAAATTGCTGTGCCTTAGGTATTGACCATACTGTTTTAAAAAATCAAAAAATCAATGGAGATAGATGTAATATTGTTCACGAATAAATAATAAAGAGAAAAATTAAATGCTCAGTGTTTTTTAAAATACTTCGTATAGGCTGCGGGTGTGTCAGCCAAACCATGACGCATTTCCACCTTGCTCAAGGGTGTCATCAGGTGGCTAAGATTTAACAAGAAGTATTCATCGGCTTCCGATTCACTGATCCCCAAACTGAATGGTCGAAAGCATAGTTATTACTTTTGTTTCTAGTAGATGATATCGATTTGGAATCGAAAGTTATCACAACATCTTGGAGAGATGCGAATGATTGTTGAACATTGGATTGATTCGAACATTAGTGAAGAACAGAGATGTCATAATACGGATGCAGTCTGTGTTCGACTAAAATCCCAGAATCCCAACAATTGGGATTTTAGTCGAACACAGACTGTATCCGTATTATGACAGCACTCAACCAATGAACATAAATCAGAAATTTTTTAAAACTGCTATCTACTGTTCGAGACTGGAAAAGTATTAATACACAGGGGGGAAGTTTTTTTTGGATCACCCTGTAATAAAAGTTTTTCTTGATCTTTCGCTGACGAGAGAACCTCCGGAGTCCTCCACTTCCGATTCAAATGCTTTGTACATGAATCGCTAGACCTCAGTGAGGTAGTAAATATCCTAAAAGGACTTGGGCCCATGACTCTCGAAGATCCGGTTTTCTGAAAAAACAGTTTTTCAGAAACTCTAAAAAATAACCAAAACTTTTTCTTAATAAGGCATGCTTGTGGGCTGTGAATGTCGGATTAAAACGAGACGTCTCGCAGCTCTGCAGAACCTTTTTTTGCAAAGTTATAGAATTTATTAGAAAAGCCCCAAATATTCATTATCAGCTCAAAGCTACAGAAATAAGAAGAAATTAATTTAGGGCTTTCCTTGTAAATTCTATAACTTTACAAGGAAAGATCCTGTAGAGCTATGAGACGTCTTGTTTTAATCAGAAATTCGCAGCCCACAATCAAGCTTTATTAAGAAAACGCTTTGGTTATTTTTTAGAGTTTCTGAAAAACTGTTTTTTCAGAAAACCGGATCTTCAAGAGTCATGGACCTTTTAGGATATTTACAACCTCACTGAGGTCTATCGATTCATGCACAAAGCATTTGAATCGGAAGTGGGCACCTCGATAGATTCCCTCGTGAATTCAACAGACCAATAAAGAGAATCATTTTTCTTAGTGGCATTAAGATGGTATGAAAGCCTGGAGAAACTTTAGGAGTGCCCAATGTCAATCCGCAAACGCCGAATGCGCTTGTGGAGTACGCTTATTGAGTTGTCATTATTGGCAATAACGGTTTATTGCCATAGAGGAAGAGTAAATACGACTGTATTCAAGTATTTTATCAAGTCTTGAAGAGAAATTCAACACTATCTCTGTTAAATTTTATTAGAGTCATAAAGAGAGATTGACTCGGTCAACAGAACAACTGGTATCATGACTATTAGATGTGGCGTGCGTAGCCTCAATAAAATTTAAGGCTCCTCTCTCAGAAATACGAAATTTTTGTAAAAAAAGTCAATATTAAAAATTTAATCTATTCATTATCAACATTTACAATAAATAGTAGCATTTTTTTATTTATTTTGCTCAAGACGAAAAGAATTTAAACGCAAAACACCATTAAACATTAATCGATAATGAAGCTTTGAAATCTATGGAGTCAATAAGCATAGATGTATGTAGTTAAAACAAAGGAGTAATCAGCAGTAGTTTG